AAAAAAAAAAAAAAAACTGTTAAACTATCAAAATTCTTTTTTCCAATATTATTATGCCTTGATTCTTTTTAATTAACTTAGTCTTTTTACTAATATGCTATTTGTATTTGCAGGAACCCTGGCATAACTCCTGAATGGATGGTAAATATAATTGTTGCCGTTTTTATTGCTGCTATCGTATGTTTGACAATGGTGTATCTATTGTCATATATTCACATATCAGGTGCTCGACTGTTTTCTTTAATGTCTTCAACAATCCAAAATTGATGTTCCCTTGATAGTTGATATCATGAGAAAAAAATAATTTTGTAAAATAAATAAATAAATGAGTTCGTCTGCTCAAGTTTAGTTTGGATCTAATAGTATTTATGCATTTAGTTTACATATTCTATGAGATTCGACACGATATCTTTGCCATTGAGAAAGCAATCTAAAGAGCCAAATGTTTTATATGATAAAACTCTTTTCTACTAAAAGACATTGTACGGTAGACTTGTTCTTAGTATAGTTAAACGCCAAAGCGAGTGTCTCTAACAGCTTACAGTTTATACGAGTCGGTTATTGAATAGTTCTTAACATAAATATCCATGTTATATATTTTATTATGTTATTTAATTACGCATATATACCATGTCAAGTGCTGTTACTGTTGATCAGAAAATCATTAAAAAAAATGCTTTGTGTTCGACATTTTTTGGCAGAATATATGACTGCTTGAAGCAAAAATATATTGCAAACACATTAAAGTAATTCGAAATATTAATTGACAGTTCAAGGACCTCGTAAAATCTGATCACTAGGCGAAGCGTAAGTTGGATATTAAATAACCATATTTTTTTTAATTTCAAAATAATAACAAAAGAAATTTTCTAAACTGTTTATATTCGTCTATATGGTGCACTGTTATCAACAGGACAAAATGAGTCTCATTTGTCCTATACAAGTGTTAAAAAGACATGCTTTGATCTGAAAATAAGTGTATCGATTTTCTATCAATTTGGTTTTTTTTTTTTTTTTTT